GGTGCACTAGAGGCCTTGCAGAGGAAGGAGAAGGAGGAGGGGGAAGAGGGTGATGGATGAGGAAGGGGTGAAGGGTAAAGGGTGAGGCAAAGTGGGAGGCAAAGAAAGAGGGGGGAGTAGGGAGGAGGAGGAAGAGGAGATAAAAATGGAGGAAGGCCTGCCCAAGCCAGTTTGGGTAGAGCGTAGGCCTATGAACTGAAGGGTCCCAGATTCAATTCCAGTCAAGGGCACATGCCCCAGTTGAGTGCTCAATCCCCAATGGGTGGCCATAGAGGAGGCAGCTGATCAATGATTCTCTCTCATCATTGATGTTTCTATCTCTCACTCCCTCTCCCTTCCTCTCTGAAACCAATAAAAATATATTCTAAAAAAAGAAGTCCTCGCCCTGGCCGTTTTGGCTCAGGGGATAGAGCGTTGGCCTGCGGACTGAAGGGTCCCAGGTTTGATTCTGGTCAAGGGCATGTACCTTGGTTGCCGGCACATCCCCAGTAGGTGGTGTGAAGGAAGCAGCTGATGGATGTTTCTCTCTGATTGATGTTTCTAACTCTCTATCCCTCTCCCTTCCTCTCTGTAAAAAATCAATAAAATATTTTTTTTAAAAAAGAAAAAAAAAAAAAGAAGCCCTCTAAATCCCTACAAAAATTCGCACCTTTTACAGGTCCCGGTGGCTGTGCTTGCACCTTGTCAATCACAGCCTCTGGGACAATGAGCATCGCACCCAACCACCAACTCCCAGACACTGTATGGTGGTGCCTGGGCCTTGAATTGTCTGTGGGTGAACCGCCCACCCTCTCGCCTGCAGACGTTCCAGCAAAGTGTGCGGAGTGTCCTGCCCCGAAGGAAGTCTCCACCGGGCACCATTACCTCATGTGCAAGGGGCCGCTTCACTGATGTGGGGAAGGACAGGGACAGGTGTCAGGCTCCCACCTCAGGACACTGTGGGGCGGGCGGGTAGCCCTGGGGGAGCACTTGAAGGTCTGTTATTGTGCCTCCCACACGCAGGCAGCTTTATGTTGTGACTCGGCAGCCAGGGACAGACTGAGAAAGCATTTGCTGAGGACAATACAGCCTGGTACACTCCTAGGATCATGGCCAAGGTATCGAAGATGGTGGCAGAGTTGGGCAGAGCCACAAGGATGGGGGGTAGACACCTCCATGTCCAATTCTTGTTAGTCCATATGCATCTGTTACGAGCCAACCGGCTTTTTTACAAAAGTGCTGAGGCTTTAACCAGTTTGGCTCATAGGATAGAGCGTCGGCCTGCGGACTTAAGGGACCCAGGTTCGATTCCGGTCAAGGGCATGTGCCTTGGTTGTGGGCACATCTCCAATAGAAGGTGTGCAGGAGGAAGCTGATCGATGTTTTTCTCTCATCAATGTTTCTAACTCTTTATCCCTCTCCCTTCCTCTCTGTAAAAAAATCAATAAAATATATTTTTTAAAAAAAAAAGAAAGAAAGAACCCAGAGGACTGTCTGTGAAAAACATGGGTTTATGAGGACTTACAAGTTCAACCGCTAAGTCCCATCAGGCCTCAGAGGGGCACACGTGGGGTGGCTGACCCGTGCTGTTGTTTTGACCAACACTGTGTAAGAGCAACACTGCAAGCTGTCTTCTTCCCTGAGGATCTGGCCAGGCTCCCAGCTCTCACAGTCCGCTGACTGATGGCCTTCACTGTCTCCCCGCAGGAGGGAGGGAAGTTGGAGCGGGGGAGGGTCCATGCGCCCACTTACCAGACACAAGCCACACCAGGCCATGAAAAGCACTCTGGGCAGAGCATTCGCTCCCCACTCCACAGTTCTCAGAGAGTTCCTCCTCTTTGCTCGTGCCCTCCACGCTGGATAATTTATATTGTGTGACAGCCACCACTCTTCACAGGGGTGTAGACTGCCTGGTTCCCAGCGGGCATTTCTCCTCAGCACTGGTTCGATCACTCTAACAGGAGGGGGGATTCGCCAACAGAAGGGCTGGATAGGCTTCCAGAGTTGGACTTTGTAGGGTATCATTGCCTGACATGTTCTATGGTGTTGGAGAGAGGAAACCTTCAGATTCTTGTGTGTGTTTATTTTTCAAAATACAATCAAAAGTTTATTTACCCTGTACTGGCTGGAACTGGCCGACAGGAAGAGGCGCGGTGGCCCCCGCAGGGCAAGGGCACCTCTTCAGCTCCTGCTACCTGCACGGGCGGAGAGGGGGCGGCGGGCCTCCGGAGCCCATAGGCTGGAACCACTGCAGTCAGACCCACCGGGACAACGCGCGGCCTCTTTGGCTGACCGAGGACTGGAAGAGGGTCGGGCGCAGGCCCAGTTAGATGACAGACATTTTATTTCCTTACATCAAAGAAAAAGTTAGAGTGTTTGCAGAACACATTGGGAAGAAGAGGAACGCCAGCAGGATGTCAGTCTTTTGAGGAAACAGGCTGAAGAGGACTCCCACCTGGATGGGGCTGTTCCGATCCCTGCTGCACCTGAGAATGGAGCAGATGACCTGCAACTGATGATCCATGCGGTGGTAGATACCGTGGGCGGGCAGATGTCTCTGGACCGAAAGACGCCGGCACTGAAACAGCTGCAGGGCCACATGTGGAGGGCAGCATTCCCAGCAGGGCACGTGAAAGCAGAGTTCTTCGAAGATGTAGGTCCAGCAGTCAGGAAGTGGAGACAGGCTGGAATGAAGGCGTATATTTATTCTTCAGGGAGTGTAGAAGCACAGAAACTATTATTCAGGTATTCTACAGTGGGAGATATTCTTGAGCTTGTTGATGGTCACTTTGATACCAAGATTGGACACAAAGTAGAGAGTGAGAGTGATCGAAAGATTGCAAACAGCATTGGGTGCTCAACCAACAACATCTTATTTCTGACAGACGGGACTCTAGAGGCCAGTGCTGCTGAGGAAGCAGATGTACATGGAGCTGTGGTGGTGAGACCTGGCAATGCAGGACTAACAGATGATGAAAAGACTTACTACAGCCTCATCACGTCCTTCAGCGAACTGTACCTGCCTTCTTCCACCTAGAGGATTTCCGAGGAAGACCAAACTGTCTCCACAGAGTCGCCCTGTAGACTAGTTTTTTTCTAGTGGTAAAAGGAAAGAGAAAGGAAAAGAGAGAGAGAAAAAGAGAGAAAGAGAAGAGAGACCAAGATGGCGGCATAGGAAAACACCGGAAATTGCTGCCTCCGACAACAACTTCAAAAATACAACTAAAAGACAGAACGGTCATCATCCAGAACCACAGGAAGGCTGGCTGAGTGGAAATTCTACAACTAGAAGGAAAGAGAAGAGCACACAGACTCAGAGGAGCTACGAAAGTAAAGTGCAGAGGTACGGAGGCTCCGGCGCGCGCGGAAAGGGGCGGGCACCTGAGGACGC